CTGAAACCAGGACAACATCCAAACATTCAGTTTTGGTTGTTCAAAATACCTGAATATGTAGCTTATTTTATCTGTGAGGTTTCAACAGCTTCATGGCAGCAGCTCTGTACTGATCTATTTCCAAGAGCCAAAACACTGCAAAGCTCCCAATAACAGTATTCTTTCATGACAGCATTCTTTCATAAGAGCTAGTTATTTTCCATTATAGAGCCTGTAAGTTTCTCTTAAGCTCTGATAGATTCATTTCTGCCTAGCAGTACAGCTGCAACTGGAGATTTTTATTTTCTTTTTTAATATTTGCAATATAAAAGATGGAACTTCAAAAATTCCAGTTGATAGTCATCCTCTCATGTGCACCAATTGAAGCAATAAGAGAGCAGTCAAGTTCGTTACAGGACATGGCATTCAGTAACTAGGAGGACCTTGACCAAAGAACACTTTTATTAAGACATATCTGTACACTGTGAGCTGTTTAGACCAAGAGTTTTTGTGAAGATGACATTTTTAATTTTATTTTTCAAATTTTCTGGCACAAATAATGTAAATTTCCATCAGTCACTGAGCCTTTGAAAGTAGACTGGGTAAGTATCCATGTTTAACCCTGCTCTTTGGATTTGAAAAGAGACAGCAGTATTGTCTTACTGATACCACAGTCTTTATTTGTGATTTTATACTCTACTGAGATAAGACCAGCCACCTTTGTGTTAGAAGGCCAATTTGACATCTGTGTTTATTTTGCCTTCTTCCAGCCCATGGGCATCTTCTCCATCCTGGAAGAGGAGTGCATGTTCCCCAAGGCAACTGACACCTCTTTCAAGAACAAGCTCTATGACCAACATCTGGGCAAGTCCAACAACTTCCAGAAGCCCAATCCTGGCAAAGGCAAGGCTGAGGCCCACTTCTCCCTGGTGCACTATGCTGGTACAGTGGACTACAACATCTCTGGCTGGCTTGAGAAGAACAAAGACCCCCCCTGAATGACTGTCATTGGGTTATACCAAAAATCGTCTGTGAAGACACTGGCCTCACTCTTCGCCTCTTATGGTGGAGAAGCAGGTCAGTTCTATAAATCTTTAGATTCATCCATGCACAATGTACAGGGAGAATCACAAATTAAAATTTTAAAATATATATTTTTTTGATTATGTAGAAGGTGGTGGTGGCAAGAAGGGTGGCAAGAAGAAGGGTTCTTCTTTCCAGACTGTCTCAGCTCTTTTCCGCGTAAGTATTTGTTATCTCTGCTGATCTGGAAATGGAAAATAAACTCCCTTGAAATCTGAATAGTTCCTGGTTCTAGTTTGGTAAGCTGTAGTCATAGTTTTTTAGAGTTCTTGACCCATGTTCTTATAGCAAGGAAATCCATCATGCCATTTAACCTCTGTTGCAGTGGATGCAGAGCTTATCCCCTTATCTCCTACTTTACAATGATGTTGTCAGCTACCATAATAAAATTGTCTTATATAGCCTAGCAGCCTTCCTTCCCTCTCTTCCAGATTTCAAAGTGGAATACAGTCTTGTAATAAGATTGTTTTGCCTTTCTGATTAAATGACTTCTTCACTCTTCCCATGTCAGCTGCATACTCTAGGAGTTGGTCTGGTGTGTGTGAAATATCCCCATATCTTGAGCTCTAGACTGCTGACAAGTCAGAGGCTTAACAGTTCTTTCTCAAGCCTCAGCCTTCCTGCCTGGCTTTTCCGTATGCTTCTCCCAGGTGAAGCTGTTGTTCTTCTCTGCAGGTATTCAGGACCATATACTCATCCTTCACCTTAGGGGTCCCTTCTTCAAATGGCCTATTTCTTCCTGAGTTGCTTTTGTTCTGTTCTTGGTCTCCTTGTCCAACCTCCCCTGGAGTAGAAGATGGGCATGTGTGCCTGGACTCCAGGAGCAGTCACTGGTACAGGTGTAGACCTCTCATGGGTGAAGGACATTTGTAAATGTCTCTTTAGTTGTCCTCCTGTTCTTATTTCTCCTCCTGTTCTTCCTGGTGAACTCACGTTTTACATCACACACTTGAAAAACTGTGAGTTTTCCAAGATAAACTTGATAGCTTCTGCCACATTGGTTTTTATTCTGTTTTGGTGTCCACTATCATTGCCAAAAGTGGTTTTTCAAAAATACGACTTACATCTCAAAAATACCTCTTTTGATATGGGTTAAAAAAATTGGGAATCTGCCCTCTCAGTTGTGATTTGAGGCAGGGGGAATGTTACTGATAGCTGTTCAGTTTACAAGGCTTTGGACCACAGCTGGAATCTGTTGTCCAGTTCTCCATTACTGTCATCTTTGTACCTACCTCTGAATCACATATAAAAAAATAATCTTTCACACTTGGCTCCACAGGGAACACAGACAATAGGCTTTTTAAATAAATACCAATATTCACTCAAATTAACTCATTATTTAGAAGTGAATTTGTGAAAGTTATTAAATATAGTGACATTTCAGATAAAATTATGTCATTAGCACTCTCTATAAGCTTTCCAGAGCAAAATCACAAAATTTTTTACATTTTATTTTACCACAGTATTCATAAAACTGAAGAGAATACTATATTCATATGGGTCCAGCAAATCTGATAGCATTATAGTGGTTTTACTGTAAAGGTGAATGTGCAGAACAAACATTTACTAATATAAAATTTTGTTCATAATTCTTCAGGAGAACTTGAACAAGCTGATGACCAATCTGCGCAGCACTCACCCACATTTTGTGAGATGCATCATCCCCAATGAAACAAAAACACCTGGTAAAAGCCTCAAGTATATAGAGATTTTCCTGTGATACTGAAGATCTCTATGTTGCAATCCACAATATTCACTTGTGCTCTGAATTGTTAGGTGTCATGGAGCATGAACTGGTGCTGCACCAGCTTCGGTGCAACGGCGTGTTGGAAGGGATCAGAATTTGCAGGAAAGGATTCCCCAGCAGAGTTCTCTATGCTGACTTTAAACAGAGGTCAGGTTTCTCCAGAATACTGTTTTATTATAGCTAAGTTTACATGTATACAACCTTAACCCAGTGGGACAATTTAGGGCTATGTTATGACATTGATATATCTTTTGTAGAGATGGGATGAGTACTCTTTGTTGTCTTTACTCAGCACCATATGTCTCACCTGTAATTTTGATAGCATTACCTGACTCATTGAAAGCAAACAGGACATACTGGTATCCTCCCTAGAAAGGTCCTGACATTGTCTGTTGCAAGAACAGCTGGAATTTGTATAAGCAATTATCAGGGAGCACCAATGGCCAACTGCTCCCTAAGAGAAGGAGAACTGGAAGCTGAAGGTGACCCCAGGGCAGACCCTCACCAACAACACCCAACAGGGTGCAGTCCAAGAGGGTCTGAAAACAGCGGCCAGAGCTGGGAGCTGGTAAGGGGTCCATCGACAATCCGAGACAAGGCAAGCATTGAATCAGATCCAGAGGCCATCCAGGTAGTCCCGTCAGGAGCAGCAGGAGATGGGGCTAGAGACAGCACTGGAAACAAAGCTACAATATCCATACAAGATCTCCATTGAGGAGACAACTACCTACAGTATAGGCCCAAGATCCATCAAGAACGCAAGGCCAGAGACTGGGCTGGAGAACAGCTGTGATGTAACTCTTGCAAGAAATGAGATCCCAGGCCTAAGTTGAAATGGAGCCCATGGGCCCATGGCAGAGGCCCTAGGTGAGCCTGGGCAGGGCCGTTAAGACCAATTGGTGTCTTCAGGGTGCTGAGAGCAATATGGTTACTTAGAGACAGCTTAGATGGTGTGCCAGGTTTCCTTCCAGTCCCAGCTAGTTCAAATGCCAAGCTAATGCAGCTTTTTTGTAACCTCTATATGTTAGTTATTTAAATAATGCATTCATTATAATATTTAACACAGTATTCCCATTTTTTTGACAATTATTTTACTGTCAATGATACTGTAATATCATCTACTCCACATAGAATTATAATGGGTAAGTTGTAGCAAAAGTTTCTCACATTGCTCAGAAAATGTATCTCTATCTAATAAAGAAATGTCTCAAAAAATCAGTCAAGGTTCAGCTAAGATATTGTCCTGCCATGTTGGGAAGCCAGCAAGCTTGGATTAAAAAAGAATGTTGGCTTGGGTAATAAGAATATTCTTACATTCTGTTTTTTCCTACAGATACAGGGTGTTGAATGCAAGTGCTGTCCCAGAGGGACAGTTTATGGATAGCAAGAAAGCTTCTGAGAAACTCCTTGGATCCATTGCCATTGATCACACCCAATATAAATTTGGTCATACAAAGGTACAAGTACAACTTCGTTAAAATATAAAGATGTGTTACAGAAATATTAAGATAGTTATGAATAAAATATGAATAGAAATGTACATGCATAAAAACACTAGAAAAAACAGTTCAAGGACTAAAGCAACAGCATGAATAAATAGCCAAGGACATGTTTGCTAGCAGTAAAAGTGGTAGCATTTGTAACTGGTAGCAGGAAGATGTAGCTTGCACCAAGACAACAGGGTAGTCCCATCATCAGACAGTCTGTGCTCTGTTAACTAGGAGGATGGCAACAGAAAGACTTTATCCAAAAGATACAGAAAATGAGGACACAAAAGAAAATGGACAGCAGCCTTCACTGAGTTTTGTGAAATATGAAGCAATATTCTGAGGTGAAATAACATTCTGCAAAGTTATTGATTCCTAAAAGGATAAAAAAGCCTCTCCAGTTACCAGTTTGTGACTGCCAGTCAGGATAAACCTAGAGGGTATAGTGAGGAACTGGGAGCTGAAATTCATTGTCTTCTATATATCAGACAAGTCATACCATTCAGGCTGCCTGGACACATACACACTGGTGTGAAAGTGTGAGTGGTTACAGTCAATTTAGAGAACTAAATAAAATAAAAATATCAGCTTCCCCTTCCATAAAGTCTCAACGACTTTGGTAACAGTAATTCCTATGGAAATTTAATCTGTTTGTGTTTTGATGACCTAAGAGTGATGTCTTATGTCATCCCCTTTCTCAAGGTGTTCTTCAAAGCTGGGCTGATAGGTCTCCTGGAGGAGATGAGGGATGAGAAACTGGCACAGCTCATGACTCGCACACAAGCCAGGTGCAGGGGCTTCCTGATGAGAATGGAGTACCAGCGAATGGTGGAGAGGAGGTAGACATTCTTCTTAAAGTTCTTCTCATTGCCCATTGTTTCTGCAGGCACCACACTGACAATTCTTCCTATGTGTCCTGAGCAACTTGCTCCAGGTGACTGTGCTTGAGCAGCAGGAGTTGGACAAGATGTCCTCCAGAGGTCTCTGAGTCTCAAACACCCTGTGATTCTGTGAGTTAGTCATTCTGTGTTTGATTTGCATTTCAGGGAGGCCATCTTCTGTATCCAGTACAACGTTCGTGCATTCATGAACGTCAAGCACTGGCCCTGGATGAAGTTGTTCTTCAAGATCAAGCCCTTGCTCAGGAGTGCAGAATCTGAGAAGGAGATGGCCAACATGAAGGAAGAGTTTGAGAAAACCAAGGAAGAGCTTGCAAAGTCTGAGGCAAAGAGGAAGGAGCTGGAGGAGAAAATGGTTTCTTTGCTGCAGGAGAAAAATGACTTGCAACTCCAAGTGCAGGCTGTGAGTACCATCAGTGCATTTCATACTTCTTGGTTAGTAGAAAATGAAAATCAAACATGCCTTCCGAAGAACAGAATCAAATAGGACAGATTAATCTGTGCAGCAACCATGATGAAATTCAAATTTATAAATAAGGACCATACATAAGACTATCCTATATGTGGCTCTGGCAGGTGATTTGGATTGGAGAGACTTCAATCTTTCATCCCCACAGACTCAATGTAAAGAAGAAAATGTCTTCAATAAAAGTATATGTGTGTATATAAAATATATAAAAAATAGAAACATGTATATGACATAGATATATATAAAACATGTAAACACATGTGTGAATATATATGTATATTTTATATATACACATAAAGTGTATATATATAAAATGTATATATATAAAGTTTACAAAACTTTATGTATATACATGCACAGTGCGAAGTATATACCTATAAATTACAGGTGACCATATGGTCACATGCTAAATGTTGTCTGAAGTATTCTAATAGGAACGAGAATAAACAGAGGTGTGAAAGAATTGCCACCATTTCAGCGGCTTCAATGTATGATGAAAAGCATGGGAGACATCTTTATCTTGAGAATACACTCGTGGTTGAGGAGGTTCAATTTTTCTGAAAGAGCATTTCCTTTAGGAGTCAGGATGCTGGGTTCCAAATCCTTACCTGTATTATTAATATGCTACGTAGCAATGATCACTGAGGCAAAGGTCAGAAGCAAAACCTAGAGAATATGTGTGACTGTATAGAGCTTCGCTGTGAAATATCACCCCACTGAAGACTATGAAACTGATTATGTCATATGTAATATTCTAAGCAACAAAATTGAATGAGTGAAAAAATCACAAGATGTAACCAGTAATAAGAAAACCTTCAAGAATTCTTTCTATTGTAGGAAGCAGATAGCTTGGCTGATGCTGAGGAAAGATGTGACCAGCTCATCAAAACCAAAATCCAGCTGGAAGCCAAAGTTAAGGAGATAACTGAAAGAGCAGAAGATGAGGAGGAGATAAATGCTGAGCTGGCAGCCAAGAAGAGGAAATTGGAGGATGAATGTTCAGATTTGAAGAAAGATATTGACGATCTTGAGTTAACACTGGCCAAGGTTGAGAAGGAAAAACATGCCACCGAAAACAAGGTATACAACAGATATGGTGACTCACATTCAAGGAAAAGAGATCCATTTCAAATTCTTGTAACAAGATTGTTTTCTTCTTCAAGGTGAAAAACCTCACAGAGGAGATGGCAGCCCTGGACGAGACCATTGCCAAGCTGACAAAAGAGAAGAAAGCCCTCCAAGAGGCCCATCAGCAGACACTGGATGACCTGCAGGCAGAAGAGGACAAAGTCAATACTCTGACCAAAGCTAAGAGCAAGCTGGAGCAGCAAGTGGACGATGTAAGCACACGTGTAGCTAAATGAACAAGAAAACTTTGTAGAGGAAAGCGTAGCCAGCAGAGCACTGATGGTCTTGCTCTTTTTAGCTGGAAGGGTCCCTGGAGCAAGAGAAGAAACTGCGCATGGACCTTGAGAGAGCTAAGAGGAAACTGGAAGGAGACCTGAAGCTGGCCCATGACAGCATAATGGATTTGGAAAATGATAAGCAGCAGCTGGATGAGAAACTGAAGAAGTAAGTGTGGCTGTGGGGCCCCTGAGTGCTGGGCTGGGGCACTTGTCTTTTTTCTTTGAGCTCTAACCCGTTGAAATCAGCCAGATCCAGAGCAAAATCGAGGATGAGCAACTTCTGGGCATACAGTTACAGAAGAAGATCAAGGAGCTGCAGGCAAGTCTCTCTTCCTTCTCTTCTGCCCTTCAGAAATACAGCAGGTAGGAGGAGGGCCCGGGTGTGAAGGGTCCGTAATGTTCCCCAGGCCCGTATTGAGGAACTGGAGGAGGAAATTGAGGCAGAGAGGACCTCTCGGGCAAAAGCAGAGAAGCATCGGGCTGACCTCTCCAGGGAGCTAGAGGAGATCAGTGAGCGCCTGGAGGAAGCAGGAGGGGCTACCGCAGCTCAGATTGAGATGAACAAGAAGCGTGAGGCAGAATTTCAGAAGATGCGTCGTGACCTCGAAGAGGCCACGCTGCAGCACGAAGCCACGGCTGCCGCCCTGCGGAAGAAGCACGCGGACAGCACAGCTGAGCTTGGGGAGCAGATCGACAACCTGCAACGAGTGAAGCAGAAGCTGGAGAAGGAGAAGAGCGAGCTGAAGATGGAGATTGACGACTTGACCAGTAACATGGAGTCTGTCTCCAAAGCCAAGGTACTGAAAAATATACGGAAAACAACTTGAAAATAAATAATGTTGAAAGATATCCTTTTAAAACATGGTCAGGTTACAACATAACTCTCTGTCTCTGTATGGAACTGTATTTCTAACCTAACGCCAATGAGCAGTATATAGCTTGCACATTTGTTCACACTTTTCTGGTGAGAATCCTGCTGTTCAGAATGAGGAGGCGTCCAGACACGAATCTTCCTTCGTTCTCTGTGATCTCCACAGGCAAATCTGGAGAAGATGTGCCGCACTCTGGAAGACCAGCTGAGTGAGATTAAGACAAAGGAAGAAGAGCATCAGCGCATGATCAATGACCTCAGTGCTCAAAGAGCTCGTCTGCAGACAGAGTCAGGTGAGAGAGAGCCTCCTCTGTGCTGTGGAATGGGAGAGCATCCTAAAACAGTTTGTTTGGGTCACGAATGACAATGAATAGATTTCCTTTCTGTGTGCTTTCCTAGGTGAATATTCGCGCCAGGTGGAGGAGAAAGATGCTCTGATTTCTCAGCTGTCTAGGGGCAAGCAGGCTTTCACCCAGCAGATTGAGGAACTCAAGAGGCACTTAGAAGAAGAGATAAAGGTGATGACTTTTCCTACAGCTGGCCACTGAAAACACTCTTAACTTCACACTGCCTAGTGGGGACAGGGTCTGCTTAGCACAAGCCATACTGGGAGAAGATTTTCATTCCTGTGGGGAGTGCGATTAGCGGATTTTGTCCTCCAGGCTTACAGTTGTCCTTCATTGCAAACACCTACACCCTCCCAGCGGTCATGTTTGCAGTGTTAAATTAATTCATTGGAAGAGATTTCCCAGGATATTACCATTCCTCTCCCAATCCCACTCTCTACCCAGGCCAAGAATGCGCTGGCCCACGACTTGCAGTCTGCTCGCCACGACTGTGACTTGCTCCGGGAACAATATGAGGAGGAGCAGGAAGCCAAGGGGGAGCTGCAGCGCGCCCTGTCCAAGGCCAACAGCGAAGTGGCCCAGTGGAGAACCAAATACGAGACGGACGCTATTCAGCGCACGGAGGAGCTGGAGGAGGCAAAGGCAAAGTAAAGGTGGGGAAAGCTGGCAGAGGCTAATAATGGAAATTTGAAGAGATCATTGAGATACTGAAAGGCAAAAGCGTAGTAGTAGGTTGGAGAGGAGTGAAATGCAAACATGTACTATAAGGGATGTGGTTTTGAAAAGCCCCAGTAGGCCATATGGCAAAGAATGCAAGAGAAAGGCAATGTATAGTGTGTGCAGAGGGAAGAGGGATGCTTAGACCCTGGGGAAAGGAAAAGGGAAAAAAATGACTGCCTGGGACAGGCTCTGTACTGGGTGCATGGGGACCAAATACTGCAAAGTGCCTCAGCACTGTGGTGAAAAGGCCAACACAATCTCCATTTTGGTCCCCAGTTATGAGCTGTGCTTATCTCCTCCCAGGTAGAAGCTGGCACAGCTCCTGCAGGATGCAGAGAAACATGTTGAAGCGGTGAATGCCAAATGTGCCTCCCTGGAAAAGACAAAGCAGAGGCTGCAGAATGAAGTGGAGGACCTGATGATTGACGTGGAGCGGTCAAATGCTGCCTGCGCAGCTCTGGATAAGAAGCAGAAGAACTTTGACAAGGTCTTTTGGGCTCCAGGCCTGGGGTTCCCGAGCAGAGCATCCCCTCCTGATTGCCACATCCCTACTGAGGTCCTGTTTCTCTTCAGATCCTGGCAGAATGGAAGCAGAAGTATGAGGAAACGCAGGCTGAGCTGGAAGCCTCCCAGAAGGAGTCTCGCTCTCTCAGCACGGAGCTGTTTAAGATGAAGAATGCCTATGAGGAGTCCTTGGACCACCTGGAAACGCTGAAGCGTGAGAACAAGAACCTGCAGCGTAAGTCCCTGGCCCTCTGCTCCTGGCAGGGCTTTCTCACAAGCTTGTCTACTGAGCATTCTACATGGGTCTGTGCCTGCAGGTCTCAAAGATGGCTGTCACCTTGGTGTGGCAGGGCCCTTCCCATTCGGCTCTGTGCCTGACCATGCCATTGGTCTTTGTTCCCACAGAGGAGATTTCCGACCTCACGGAGCAGATTGCCGAGGGAGGAAAGGCGATTCACGAGCTGGAGAAAGTCAAGAAGCAGATTGAGCAGGAGAAATCTGAAATCCAGGCTGCTCTGGAGGAAGCTGAGGTACATGCCCATAATCACTGGTGTCTGCACTAAAAATATGAGCAATGGGGAAATATGGCTACAAACTGCTTGGTTCCCCTCTGTTCTGTCTTGGGAGCGCAGCCAGCTGAGATTTCCTGAAAAATTCTGTAATTACCTAGAAAGCAAGCAGCAGCTTTATCGATGTTACAAATGTTTGTGTCCACTTGTCCAGGCCTCCCTGGAACATGAAGAGGGGAAGATCCTGCGCCTCCAGCTTGAGCTCAACCAGGTGAAGTCTGAGGTTGACAGGAAGATAGCAGAGAAAGATGAGGAGATCGACCAGATGAAGAGAAACCACCTCAGAATTGTGGAGTCCATGCAGAGCACCCTGGACGCTGAGATCAGGAGCAGGAATGAAGCCCTGCGGCTGAAGAAGAAGATGGAGGGAGACCTGAATGAAATGGAGATCCAGCTGAGCCATGCCAACCGCGTGGCTGCGGAGGCACAAAAGAACCTGAGAAACACACAGGCAGTGCTCAAGGTTTGTTTAGCAAAGATACATATAGAACAATGTCTTACCTTACGTTTTCAAAACTCAAGAGTGCTGTGCCACCTTGTAATTTCTCTTGTGTCTCTTCTACAGGATACCCAGCTACACTTGGACGATGCTCTCAGGACACAGGAGGACCTGAAGGAGCAGGTGGCCATGGTGGAGCGCAGAGCAAACCTGTTGCAGGCTGAAGTTGAGGAGCTACGGGCAGCCCTGGAGCAGACGGAGCGGTCGAGGAAAGTGGCTGAGCAGGAGCTTCTGGATGCCACTGAACGTGTGCAGCTCCTCCATACCCAGGTAAGGGCATTGTGTGGAAACCAGTCACGTAGTCCCAATGTGGAAAACTGATGTTTCAGAGATCAGGTTGTGAGAATGGTCTAGAATAGCTTCTCTACTGCTATCTACAAGGGAAGGCATATTCACAACCCATCACCTGAGCCCACCACTCACATTTTGTAAACAACCATTTATAAAAGAATTCCAGATTTTGAATTGCAAGCTTGAAGCATAAAAACTTGGCTTAGACTGCAGGTTTGGTATTGCAGGCTTTATAATAAAAATCTTGCAATCTCTCTTTGCACAGAACACCAGCTTGATCAACACCAAGAAGAAGCTGGAAACAGACATTGCCCAAATCCAGGGTGAAATGGAGGATACGATCCAGGAAGCCCGCAATGCTGAAGAGAAGGCCAAGAAGGCCATCACGGATGTGAGTCGGGGGCTCCTTTCACTGCTGATGGTGGATGTATTCTCCCCCAAACTCTCTCCAGCCCCAAAATGGCTTTGTCCCTTTGCTCTCATCAGGCAGCCATGATGGCAGAAGAGCTGAAGAAGGAGCAGGACACCAGCGCCCACCTGGAGAGGATGAAGAAGTTGGCTTTGAAGGGAGGCAAGAAACAAATCCAGAAGCTGGAGGCCAGAGTGCGTAGGGCTGGTATTTGTGCATGAGTGAACATGTCACGTTAAGCAGCCAGCAGGGAAGCTCCAAAGATGGGCTTCTCATTGCAGGTGCGGGAGCTGGAGGGGGAGGTTGATGCTGAGCAGAAGCGCAGCGCTGAAGCCGTGAAGGGTGTGCGCAAGTACGAGAGGAGGGTGAAGGAGCTGACCTACCAGGTAAGGCAGGAGGCCTCCTTGGGCTGACAGACCCTCTTTGCAGGAAGTAAAGATTTTTGCGCGTGATTGCCAAGGGGAATTGCTAACTGACACGGTGGGGAAACCAATTCACTCTCTTTTCTGTTTGCTAACTGCTTTAGTCTGAGGAGGACCGGAAGAATATTCTCAGGCTGCAGGATCTGGTGGACAAGCTGCAAGTGAAGGTGAAATCCTACAAGAGACAAGCTGAGGAGGCTGTAAGTATCACTCTGACTGGTGGTAAAGACACTTTCAAAGGGGGTAACTTGGGCATTGAGGATTTTGAGCATTTATGAGGGTTTTTTTCTTTTTATCATGATATGTTTCAGGTTTGATAAAGTGTCCTCAGGACTGATTAGGAATTCACAGAGTAATAAGCAAATAGTTATATCTGAAAATATGAGGACTATATCAGATTATAAATTAACTTATTTTCAAATCTAAATAACCCTCAATTCTCCTTCACATTAACATATCAATTAAGTAATTTCTTATAAGATATCTGACTAATATAATATTTCTAAATTGGTTTGGGTTTTGGTTTTTTTTTTAAAAAAAAGATGATGGTTTTATTT